TCCTGCTGGAAATAGTAATACGAGAGGCATAGGTGAACAGAAATTACACTTTGTTACTCGATAACATCGACATAATGGGTTGAATGGCATTAAATGGTTAGGAGACCACGCTGATGGTATCAACGTGCATAACGTCCAGTAGACTCGGACAAACTGTGGAGCTTGAATACTACAGCTTCGGTCCCGATATACATACTACAAATGACATCAGTTTTGAAATTCGAAGAAGGATAGTGTTGCCTAGCAGATGATCTAAGTTAGCAGGTCTATGGTCTAAGTAAGCAGTTTAGAAACAATGCCACCTCTCACCAGACCAAACTCCCATTCCATACACCAACTCGGGTAGTATGGATCGGAAGCATGGGTACTTGCGCAAGCAAATGAGACAACTCTTGGAGTGTTGGGCTGAGGTGACAGACGTTGACCGAGTAAGACTTGGATCGTTTCGGATCGTAGACCCCTCTGCCCATTGTGTAAAAGCAATAGGGCTGCTACAACAATAACTTTTGGAGTGTTTGAAAGAAAATGTTTCGAAAAATCTATGGGCAGATCTGCGTCGACGTTGATTATGGGCGTCGAATAAACCACGAGCTTTACCATCTATACACGGACATCGACATAATCAATAATATCGAGCTGAAGCGACTACGGTGTTGTGCGAATGGATGAGGATGTCCCAGCTCAAAAGGCGACCCTACTGATGGTTCACACAGAAAGGGAAGCCCATAAATTCGATGTAAATATCAAGTGAAGTATGACAAATCAAAGCATGATCATTGAAATTGAAAAAAACGGTTCACAAGATTGACCCGCCTGGAAATATATTTTTAAGTTTGACTTATGGAACAAATGTTCTGTCTTGAGCCAGCTAATAAAATAAGAACTCAAATGGAGAAATACAGCCAATTCCCCAAAATCCATAAAATATTCGTCAACGAAGGATACCTTTTAAATGGAAGCTACTTCAAAACTTTTTAAGGGGCATTTTCCAAGAATCGAAAATATAAAATTACATCTATTTTGCCTGAAAGACGTGCCAAAAAATTCACAAAGTACTGAAATGTGAAATGGGGGGCTTTCCTAAACATTGGACCAATATTGGTAACATAGATTTAGGAGTAGTAGCAATAAATTTTCAAAATTTCGAAGCTATATCATACATATTGTTCTATCGTCATTTTATTTTGTATTTAAAACATACAAAATTTATAACAATAGTTGAAAATCTGGAACAGAGAATTTTGTTTTGATAATTTTGCAAAATCTGTTGAAGTTGTAAATTTTCCAACAGAAATCAACTATTCTGTTTTTTATTTTGATTAAAGTAATCAAAATTTCGCAATAAAAATAAATTTTCCCTTATCTAGACAAAAAGTATATAAAATAAATGTCTTTATTTGCTTGGTGTTAACTTGGCTTGTTTAGTTGTCATTTTTTTTGGTAAATATTAAAAAAAATATTGTTCAATTAGGGTTTTTTCTTTCATTGTTGTTGCAGAGACAAAGAGACAGTTTGCATTTTTGGAAGTGAATTCTTATTTCATTCTGTTACTGGTTCTGCATTATTTAATGTCAACAAACGTTTGTTGTTGTTACCGATTTCTATAAATTTCCATAGTGTTTTATTTTTTTATTATTTATTTTTTTCCATTTGATTGCAACAGCGATATTGAGTTTTATTGTATACTTTTTGCTGATAACAAACAAATGTACAAGACAATAAGGTGTATTTTTTGTTGCAAAATAAATACAAAATTCTAGGTATCGATATCAGCAAACTTTCTTTGGAACTCTTCGCATGCATGTATTTTGTTTGAACAATTATTTTTATAAAGAGTATTATGGTGTTCTTGGGAATAATATGTAATATTGTCAGTAACCCTACCCTACTTTCCGATTGGGGGTTTTTCTTTACAAAATGTGATTTTTATGTAGTTGACATTTTAAAGGCAGTGAAGTTTCATTTGAAATTGTGTACGTTTTATTTATAATTTATATATATTATAAATAAATATGATGTAATTAAAAAAATAAATTGATATTTGAATAAGTCATAAACTTTATTCTATGTTTGCAATATGTCATTATGTTATTGAATTCCAATCCAACAGGTGCACCACCAGATCCTGTGGTGCTCAGGTATTCTCCGTAGACCAGACGAACGGACAGATGATACTGCATAACGTAGTTCTGAAGCAGATGGTGGAAGATATGGGCATAGAGAGAGAGAATTTAGGAATACCATGGAGGAAGGGGGTTTTCTCTAGCAAAGCCAATCATATTCGGTTTCAATCTCTACTGTTCCATGATAGAACTCATCGCTAGGTTCTGTGATGATCCGCTGGCAATAGAATTTTTATTTTTTGTCCACCCTAACAGGTCTGACTATCTGACACGAACTGCGGCTCCATAGACTGAGCTTACGCCGGGACAAAATGGTCGTTTAGCCAGCACCCTCAGTGCGGACAGGACATGATATTACAAATAATATAGACCGATGGCGATTGCACAAACATTTGTCATGTTTTAGAAATGTCCACCACATATTTTTTTTGCCACATACTATGTAAAGAATAATGAACGAGATTGGACCAAAAATTGAATCTATACCGTAAATTTTTTCCAAACGAATTTTGTAAGCCTGGAGAAATTTTTTTTTATTAATTTCTATTTCGAGATGAGCTACATGATCGGAGTTTCAATGAAAAGGAAAGCCAGAGAGATACTACATTCCCACCACTATGCGACGCGTTTCGCCGTCGGTTAAGCGGCTCATCAGGTATATTGGGCAATGTGGCTTACAAATGTCTTTACTTGATAAGTTGTATTTATGTCGACTATTATTGCGAAATTGCATCTACGAATTAAATTCAACCGGTTCGGACATTTGGCATCACACCAGAACATTCCTTTTCAGAGCAGATTTTTCTTGTAGTGACGGACTTTTTTTCCATACAGGCTACAATATTTTTTCTTCAATGGTATGCAACTGCATACTGTGCAACCTTAGGAAGATAAGGAGGTGGCTTTGAACGCTAAGGCGCCGGACATCAACAGATGCCATGGGAACCAGGGTTCAAATCCCAGGCGGGCTCAAGCTGAATAGATAATGTTTATTCAAATTTCACTAAAATCTCAATACCTTAAAAACGTTTCGATTTTATGATACCTTTTACTACTTTGGGTATATACAAGAGATGTACCTAAGATTCATATTATATCCTAAGGTAATATAACCAATACCAGCTCAAATTATTGAATAGCAAATCTTCAAATGTTCAATATTGGTCCACTATTTTGGTTACGGGGTTCAACCCTATTGGCTATAATTTTATATTTTGGGTTCACATCGGTTAGCAAATCTTCCAACTAAGGTTATCAAAATTGTTTGATGTAGCCCACATGCCGTATCGGTCAAAACCTAAAAACGCCCTTCACACTGTGGTGAAGGATATGTCTGCGCATATGTTTATGCAAGGCAAAAGGAAACGAGATAGACACATGGTTCCTTTTGAGAATGTGCATAGAATCACTTTCTGACTAGAATCACAAAGTACAAATCACATTTATAATCCGATTTGGATGAAATTTGGTAAATTGTGCACCAAAGTCCCTATATACCTTTTGATTTGCACGAAAATTGGCAAAACATACCGAATGGGGACTAAAATGATGTTTGCTAAATTTCAAGAAAATCGGTTCAGTTTTATATATAGCTCCCATATATATTTTCGTCCGATTTTATGTAAATTGAGTACCAAAGTCTCTATATACCTATCGATTTGCACGAAATTTGGCATAGCGCAATGAGTTGAGAATAGAATAATGTGTGCTAAGTTTCGTGAAAATCGGTGCAGATTTAGGTATAGCTCCCATTAATATTTTCGTCCGATTTAAGGTAAATGCTGTACCAAAGTCCCTATATATCTTTCGATTTGCACGAAATTTGGTACAGCGTACTGAATTAGGCCTAGAATGATGGGTGCTAAATTTCGTGAAAATCGGTTCAGATGTAGATATAGCTCCCATATATATTTCCGTCCGATTTAATGTAAATGGTGTACCAAAGTCTCTATATACTTATTGATTTGCACGAAATTTTGCATAGCGTACTGAATTAAGCATAGAATGAAGCGTGTTAAGTTTCGTGAAAATCGATTCAGATTTAGATATACCCCCCATATATATCTTCTTCCCATTTTATGTAAATTGTGCACTAAAGGCCTAAAGCTAGGCTGATTGACAAAACATTTTGCAAAACGTACTGAAGTTAACATAAATTAATCCCTGGCAAGTTTCGTGGAAATCGGTTCAGATTTAGATATAGCTCCCACATATATATTTTCGTCCGATTTCGTGTTTGTCCGATTGACACGAAATTTTCCACGACGTATCAAATTGAGACTAAAATGACGTTATTGCGTTTTGTTGAAATTGGTGCGAATGCAGACATAGTTTCCATATGTATTTCGAGCGGGTGTCCGATTGGTATGGCCTATTCAGTATGCCGTGTATCAAATTTACCATAAATCGATTTCCATAAATGTGTCCCATTGTACGCAAACAACTCCAAATCTGCCGGAATGAAATGAAAATGGAGCATAGGTTGCAGAAAGTCATGTGTATGGATTCATGTTAGTCGGTTCACCTATAGGTAAAGGTCACATATTTAAGTTCGTTTAATTTCATCTCAATGTTATTTCGAGGGAACATTGCCATGAAATTGTTAGGATAAATATGTAGAATATACCCAAAGTGGTGAAGGGTATCATATACTGGGTCCAGTCCGACTTTAATTATTGATTTTATATTTATTTGGATTACATTTCACTTGTTATAATTTTTTTAAATAAAATAATAATGACTGATTCTAAAATGTAACAATTTCTAGAATAGCGTATATGATATCAAATTTATTACCAGCCTAAATTAGTTTGATTTTATGAAATAATTTTTCATTTTATTTAATTGTTTTCTTTCATATTTTTCGTCTTCTTCCAGATCTCATCACATTACGGTTCATCAGCCTCAATGAAATCCTATCATCAAACACAAACACCAGCTAAGGCGATCTCATCATCGACAACATCTTCGTCATCGTTTACCTCTTCGACGGCTAATAACCGGCAACGTGACAAAGTGGATTCTTACAAAAGTTACTACGAAACGAATTTATAGATTCCATTCCAAGCATAGCACGAAGCTGATGCGTATTGTCCATCGCTGGCAGCCACATTATTACTACTAATACTTATAAATAAATATATATATATAACATTTTTTTTTAATTTATTGTTAAAGCCAAATTCCAGCATAAGTGAAAGAATGAAAGAAAGAAGAAGAAAAAAAAGACAACGATGATTTCTTTTTTTTTTTTGATATCCGTTAATTGTATTAAAAAAATATTATGTTTTTTCTATATTTGTTCTAATTATAAGATTTATTTTCTAGAATGTAAGAATTATTAAAAATTAGCGGTGAAATAGCGGTGAAATAAAAAGACTCGTGAGAGCATAGTTATAAGTAGTACTTACACATATCGGTATTATATGTTTTACGATTACCTATAAAATATATACATATTAAAATACATACATATTTACTTTGTTTAAATTATTTTTGTTATTATTGGCCCTTGAAGAATTATGAGCCTCTAGGAAAGTTATTTACATTTACATTGACAAATATCTAGGAATTTTAACTACTGTGATCAAGGGATTTTATATGGGCTAAATGGCTGACAAATTTTCTAAAGTTTCCCAGAATAATTGTATTTATAACAGCCTAAAAGGGAACGAAGAAATTGTAAACCGTTCTTCTCTTCCGGGAAGGAATAATTCAAAATAATGTCGGATATAGGTATTTTATTGACATAAAGGAGAATTCCAAAAGCTCACTAACAAATTTTATTAAATATATATTTTTAAATATAAATCCCCCATTGAAAATTAACTTCCTTTTAATATCCTTCACCATGAAATGTAAATCCAGATACCCAATATAAATCGGGATCAATGCTGCCGGGAAAATACGAAATATCAAACTTCAGAAAATTGTGTTATGATCTAGAACACACCGAAATCCTCAAAATTGAGTTGTTATATGGGGGCTATACCAAATCGAAGATAGATATTGATAATTTTTGATAGGATGATTTGACACCCAAAAACAACCCCAAATTTAAATTAAGAAAAAATTTGGCAGAAGTTAAAGCCAGTATTGGTAATTTTTTAGTGGAAATACTTCATATCCAGTAAGAATTGCAAATAAAAACTAGCAAGGAAAGTAGTAAATTCGGACTGGGCCGAATATGGGACGGATATTTTCTAGATACATATATGATCTTTATCATGAAGTGAACCGACGACATCAATCCATACACATCCCTTTCTGCAACCTATGCTTAATTCAATTTCATTCGGACAGATTTAGAGTCATTTGCGTACAATGGGACAAATTTCTGTAAATCGATTTAAAGCAAACTTCATACACTCTATTTTGGTATGCAGCGCTGTTTAAAATTTAATCTAAATCAGATACCCGTTCAAAAAATATATGGAAGATATGTCTGCATCTGCACCAATTTTAACAAAATGTCATTCTAGTCTCAATTTAATAAGTTGTGCGAAATTTCGTGGCAATTGGACAAACATTAGGAGTTAGTGCAACATCTACCTAAAATTGGAAGAAAATATATGTATATGGGAGCTATATCTAAATCTGAACCGATTTCAACGAAACTTGCTAGAGATTAATTTATATTAACTTCAGTACATAGTACAAAATTGTGTGTCAATCGGACAAACTTTCGGTCTTTAGTGCACAATTTGCATAAAATCGGAAGAAAATATATACGGGATATATATATATATATATATATGAACCGATTTACACGAATCTTATCATACATTATTCTAGTCTTAATTCAGTACGCTATGCCAAAATTCGTGCAAATCGAAAGATATATAAGGACTTTGGCGCACCATTTACATTAAATCGGACGAAAATATATATGGCAGCTACATCTAAGTGTGAGCTGATTTTTCCCAATCCCTGGGCCAAATAAATGAGCTGCGTCAAATTTAATCCAATTCGTAATATAAATGCGACCTGTACTTTGTTTACAATTCAACATGGACAGAGGGACGGACGGACAATCGACTCAGAAAGTGATTCTATGCATATTCTTAAAAGGAACCATGTGTCTACTGTACCACAGTGTCTGGAAGGGTATAATTACAGCCATTTTGGTTGAAAATCGTGACCAATATACCGAACGATGGGCTATCATTATATGGGGGCTATTCTACACCATAGGTCAATATTGATAATTTCTGGTACGAGTTTTTTTGCGCAACCCCTAATCCAAAAAAAAAAAACAGCCAATTTAGTTGAAAAATCCGCAATCAAGGAGGTACCGTTATATGAGGGTTACCCTAAAACTGAAAGCATTTTTTATTATTCAATTATAATTATTTTAATGCCTCCGCGCCATATTTGGCAAAATAGAGGCTAATGGGCTAATAGTTAATAATACATTAATTGTACAAAAGATTTTCAATATTCTGCAAAATATAAGTTTTAATGCTTTCATCTGATAATTGATTATATTTCATTGGTCCAGCGTATTTTATTCTTTGTTTTGTTACTTCAACTCGACATCTAGCTACTTCCAGGTCTGATGCATGCCTAGTGTTTCTACCAGTAATTTCTCTATTTTGTCTGAAAGATATTGACGAAAGACCTATGGCTTTTAATTTTTTAAAAATTGCCATTAAGCCATTAGATAAGTTTTTGCTAAGAAAATTTCCTTCACAATGAGAATCCAAAATATTTAACAACAGATAAACTCTATTGAAAATCCTGCTCAAAATACCGAATACTCGGGGTATCGTTATACCTATGAGGTCTAGCCTAAAACTTGGTTAATATTGATAAAACTCCCTAAAATACCGACATTTGGGTGTCATTGTTATATGGAGGCTAACCTAAAATTTGGACCAATATTGCCAATTTTTGGTAGGAATGATACCCAATGAGAAATTATACTAAACTACAGTCAATTTATTTGCAAATATCTTAGGAGTAATAACAATTATTTTTCAAAATTTCAAAACTATAAGCAAATTACCTAAACTGTATAGGTATAGTTATACCTTAAATAATAGGTCTGTATAAGAAAATGTGAAAGGGATTGCAGAAAATCAAATAAGAAAAAAGTAATTGGAAAATGAAGTCAGGCATACTGAAATTTTTAGGAGGATTTTTTTATCATCTAAAAGGTTTCAAACACATAAGTGTTTATTTATGGTCTAAACATATTTAAAAATCGGCGGAATCTTTATATATTGGGTTATTAAAGAAAGTGGTATTCTTTCTTCTGGATTGGAATCTCCAAAATACCTCTTTATATGAGGTATATATCAAAACATTGGTAGGATATATTTAATACGTAGCAAACAGTTACCTAACTTAGCTGTCATCTTGAAGTTTAAGCTCGGATGCATCTTACATATAAAGCACAGAAGTGTTAAATTACATCGTTTTCAGGTGGAACAAATACTGAAAATCGGCGGGATTGTTATATTTGAGAACATTGGTCTTTTTTAACTTATTGGAAAAGCACAACAAATTCACAACGTTCCCGGTTAGATAGCCGTAATGTTTGTAAAAGCTTCACCAGTTGAAAAATGTAGAAAAAAATCTTCAGAAATTAAATAAAGATCAGATTTGAAAGCGAGGATTGGAAACTGTGCGACAAAATGGCAGTCATAACAATTAAATAAATACGTGAATTTTTTGTTAGTTACGCCTTTTTGCATTTATCAAATAAACGCACTTGTAGTTATGTCTTTTTTTTTTGTTAATAGAAGCTCCTTTTTTGACCGCAGAAGTGTAAAACTTTGTCAACACATGTAGTTTATTGACATTCACCATATTCATTTAAAAAGTCAATTTTCAATTTTTTGTTAATTACGCCTTTCTGCATTTTAGCTAACGATATATGAAACGGCAAAATGAAACGAGATAGACACATGGTTCCTTTTGAGAATATGCATAGAATCACTTTCTGAGTCGATGTATGCATATTAGTGCGTCTGTCTGTCCATATTAAATTGTAAACAACATACAGGTCGCATTTATGATCCGAATTAAATGAAATTTTGCAGAGCTCATCTATTTGGTCCAAGGACCTATTGAAATTGGGAAAAATCGGTTCGATTCTGTCCATATTAAATTAGATGAAACTCCCACATATATTTCCGTTCGAATTAATGTAATTAGTCCCTATATATCCTTCGATTTGCACGAAATTTGGCATAGCGTCCTGAATTCAGTCTAGAATGATGTGTGTTAAGTTTCGTAAAAATCGGTTCAGATTTAGATATCACTCTCATATATATTTTCGTCCGATTTAATGTGTATGGTGTACCAATGTCCCTATATAACTTTAGTTTTGCATGAAATTTGGCATAGCGTACTGAAATCAGTATAGAATCATGTTTGCTAAGTTTCCTGAAAATTGGTTCAGATGTTAAACATAGGTTGATATTATTTCTAGCCGGTTTGATTTTGAAAACTTCATATATATTTCCACATCTTCATGTAGGCCCTATGTAACGGTACCGGTATATGTCCGATTCAGCCGAAGTTTCCAAACTGAAGTGACTGAAATTGGCGATTTTAAGTTCATACATTTACACAGCCCTATTATAATTATTTTTCATGATCCTGTACGTATTTTCTAACCAATGGGGCTGTAATTTTGCATTCGGAGTTTTTAGGTTAAGGCTAAAAACATCTTTGCAGAAGATATTCAATATACGTAATTTTTTTCGTTTTTTTTTCAGTCCAAACTATAATTTGAAATTCCGGCATTCTATGTGGACAAAGACTTTTTAATTTACGTCCATGGTTTGAGATATCCTCCATATAAATGCCCCGCCTTATGTTCGATATGTTAAAAGCTTTAGTCGAATTATCCAACGTAAGGGTCTGTCATTTTATCTGCAGCCTTTTGACTAATAAGGTTGTATATGCTTTGAAACGGCAATAATCTGTCTAATCGAAATATTGGTTTTAGGCTCCAATGTTTCTTGGGACAAAATTCGTTTCAGACAATTTGGAGTCGATTTACAAATGTCCGTCTGGCCGGCTGGTGCACACTATAACTCTCGAAGGGAGTA